CCCCCCCGCCCCTGTACCTTTTAACCCACTCCAAAGAGGTGGAAAGAAGACGCTGGGATTGGATCGATAGTGCACTCTCCTCGCGGGATTGATTTCAAAACCATCCTGAAGGCAATTGGCTGGTGTGTGCATATGTCCCAGGAAGACCTTCACCAACTGTCCATGCATGAGTGTGCTTCGCTCGAGGATACAAGTCGTCTTGACTGTGGTAGGTAAACCTCTGGTTATACGACTGACCACCGAGTCCTTTAACTTCAGCCCTCTCTTCCTCCTCCCCCCCCCCGCGCGTCATGGCGACTCGGTGAGATCCCTGATATGCGTATTGGAAGGCAGTCCACAGAGTGACTAACCTGATGGACAGCTCGCCGCAATATCGCACGTGATATACCCGAGTCTGGCGCGTGACGTTAACGAACTCTTGAACTTTTTTCCAGGGTTATTTTTTTGGTCGTTTTTCACCACTCGTTCAAGGCTCATATCGATAGATTTTTTGTTGGTTCTTTTTTGCTTTTCGGGGAGTTGACATGCGGGGGTTATGTGGGGTGAGGAGAAGTCGATAAATCGTTGCTGCTGGATTCAGCGTATTGCTACACCTATGGAGATCCTGAAGAATGAAATGCGGATTTATATCGAGCATCGATAAATTGGGGATTGTAGACAATTTGGGATAGAGGGATCTGTTTTTTTTAGATCTGGTGATGGTATTAGGTTGTCCAGGGATGCGAATGACCGTATGGGCAGATCCGACGGGTTCAGATAGGACCCTGAGATGTCCTCGACCCCTTCTCCCATCGGAGATAAAAAAGGAAGAGAAAAAAAAAGATGGGGGAGAAAAACGACGGGAGGAAGAGTCTCTGAACCAACGGCGATTTATCGACGATGGATACCCAGGTGCCTTCGAACTTCTCCCCCATCCACCACCAGATCCTAAAGTATTCCACTTCCCTTAGCAAAATGAAACGCACAGGTTTATATGTGAAAACCTCGTATACGAAACGCACTCACGTTGATGACGATATCGGGCCTCAGTGGAATAAAAAAGGTGAAATGCGGAGGAATAAAGGAAGGTAAAAGGAATATGTTCGGTAAAAGGAATGACGAGGACGGTGGATTTCATTTTTATTATGCCTTCTCCAACTGGCGAACCCTCCCCGACGAGAAGAGTCAGTGTTTCCCCTCTACTCGGGGAGAATAACTTTATTCCACATCCTTCGAGGATATTTCAGCCTGATTCTGTTTTGTAATATTTTTTTCTCTTCATCTTGTTCATCTCGCTTTGGGCTCGGAAGATAGCCGAGTTCGGTGTAACCAGTTTACCTCGGTTACCACGTGCACCTGGTATCCCAGAAACTGCCCCCCCCCCCGGAAGTCCTCGCGTTGATCCAGTCTGTTATTATTGAGCTCTTTTGCGTTTTATGATTCTGTGTGTGAGGAAGGCAATTGAGGAAGTACAGTGGATACTCTCTGTGATTTCGCTTCTCTAAGATTTCGGCTGGGGAAGTTGACTTCCCCCACCATTAACAATCTAAGCGTGTGTGGGCTCCTCTGCGCGGTTGGAATGCGCAATGGGATCACTGGCAGTGCGAGAAGATTGGAGCAGATAGATTCTCTATCTCTGTGTCTCTTCTTCTACAGTCACAACATCGACGTATGAGCAGGGGCTTCCCGATTATTTAAATTCGCGGAATTCGTTCCCCCGCAGCTGAAATCTTGAGGAGTATCTACTGTAAGATATTTCGATTTTTTTCCAACCGAATGGAAGCTTTGTGATCGTTCAAATTTAAGTTTTGGATTTTTTGTGTTGTATCGATCCAGTATGATCCAAAAAGTTCGAAGGTACACTATTACCAAATTTCATCAAATGCACGATTTAAAATTTTTTTTTATTTCTGCATTTCTGGGGCAAGTGAGGGTCTCAGTGGCATTAGACGGGCCAAAAAATACAGAATCAACGTTCACTCGGCGGAAAAATTCGATTTTGCCGACAGTCGACTTTCCCCTGAAAAATCCAAGATGACACTTTGGCCACAGTTGAAAAAAAAAATTTATTTCGACATTTCTGGCGCCTCAGAGTGTTTCATTAGCATCAGAAACGTTAATCGATATAAAAATTAAGGAATGTAATCGAAACTTTCATTTTTGAGGCCTTGCAGAGGCTCGAATAAGCCTTGACGTACTGAGTCTCAATACTCAAAGCCTGGGCTAGGCCTGAATTGAACCTCGGCAATGGCCCCTTGAATCGCCCTCATTTCAGGCTCGAGTGAACGATGAAATCAAGCCCGTCCCAGGCCTGAGTCACTGACCCTCGCCAAACCTAGGCTCGCCCAGGCTTGTTTCCATCGTCAGCCTATATAATTCCTACCTGGGACCCACACACTTACTGCGAAAGATCCTTAAATCTCTGGGTCGGTTGATTGCCAAAATTTCCAACGTTTTATCATGAAATTTAGGGTGAAATTCTCCATCAGTGCATCCCTGGGACGGAAATAACCGTCCGTATCCTACGATAAAGTTCTCAGTTGGTGAAATAATTGAATTCAATTTTTATCTGCTACCCAACCACTCGACTCAATTATAGAATAAGTCTCTAACGAAGTTAACAAGCACGTGTTGGAGATATACATTTCGATGTCAGTTTGCGCTCTTTAAGGTCACGGGGTTGAGGAAAAAAAAGATCAAGAAGAAGTACCTTGAGGAAAGTGCAGAGGGGGCGGATGGTGGGGGTTATAATATATACGCAATCGTGGTGGCTCCGCGGGATTTCACGACGAAGCGAGGAGGACACATACAGAGTGAAGAAGTCGTGATTCTCGTTGGGCCACGAACTTCAACCGGGAACACACGATGATGACGATGAAGAGTGCAAACGAGTAGGGAGGTCTCTCTTGGTTGGACCCTCGAGGACTCTCTCTCGTTTAAGTCGTACCCCCTATTCGTATCAAGATCAAGCACGTGGCGCAGATTAATGTCCACACTCCCATGGACATTCTATTCTCATTAAAAATCATTACCGCGAGTAATTTTTCACTCGAAAATTAAATTTCAAATTATCAGAAGAAAGGGGAGAGGAAAAATTTAATCTAAAAAATTGTCTCATTAATTTTATTTCATCATAAATTGATCGTGTAGTTGAGGGACTCCATGGCGAATTAATGCATTTCCCTCACTCCCCTGTCCCCGTCCGCTCTCATGAATTACACATTTCATCAAATTGTTTAGATCTAAAATACTCATTCTACCCTGCGCACGAAAAGCCCCAACGTGACACGCAGAGTCATGCGTTACATGACGCTAATTAAGACTGACCTTTGTCGTTTAATTAGCCCACATGTGTTACGTACACCCCACCACTTCTCCAATCAATTCGATCAAACTTTAATCCTGCTAAAAATTTAATCTCGATGTCGCCATGAAAAACGCTTCGAAATGCCGGTAAAATTTCTTAATTTTCTGGTTTTTTGTTGAAAATTATTACCAAATGAAACAATAGTTTTCATGGACAT